GTATTGTATTGTATTGTATTGTATTGTATTGTATTGTATTGTATTGTATTCCATTCCATTCCATTCCATTCCATTCTATATCTATATAGAGGTAGAGAATGCATTGTTTATTTCCTCATGGGCCTCCAATGCATACATTGAAGACCAACTGACACTCACAGGTGTCCGGCTATTATCTGGCCACTGGCAGGACGCTGCGTCCGACATCTTAAATGGAAAGGCCGTCCGGGCGGCTGGCGTGTCCCTAACCTTGGGGGGGGGGGGGCTCTGTTGTTCTGGCATGTCACCACATGACAATGCAGGCTGATATTTAAGAAGGCAGAAGAGAGAATGGAGGGAGGAGAGGATTAACTCACCTACTACAGCCAAAAGAGGAGATGGGTTTATTTATAATCTGGGTTGGGCCTTATTTATTGTCTCCTCAGGCAGAGCAAAGGGGGCACCCGCCGAAGGAACAGTCTCCAGACAGCACCCTGAGCTCCATCCTTGGTCTTAGAAATGGTGAGTCAAAGGAGGGAGGGAGGGAGGGGCCGTGAATTGGAAGGGGAAGGGGAAAAAAAGGGAATTCAAGCATTCCAGATAAAAAATAGAGGCTGTCTTTCAAGAGTTCTAGTATCAGGAAGGATGAGCTTCACACGCAGACATCTCTTCAGAAGAAGAGTGGATAGGCCCGTGAAGCTGGAATTAATTGATAAGGGGTTTTAATCAAGATACACGTATTCTTTCAAACTTTAATGTCTTCAGCAACGGCAGATGATTTTATAACTTGGTTCGAAGCAATGGTTGAGTGGTGCCCAAACTGGACTTGGTCCATTTCTCCTTGCTGGCTTGATGTCTTTCTCAGGCCACTGGTTTCATACCGGCGTGTTCCCCTTCACACGTTCAGTACTCCAATCCTTTCTGGAAATCTCCAATTTACCCTTCTCCTTTTAAGCACCGATTTTCTAGTCCTCCAAATGTTAAAATCCATATATCGGTACATCTCTTTCTTTTTGGCGCCATCCAATGTAAGATTCCCGAGTCAGGGAAACCCTCTGTGGACTTTTCACCACGAGGCATTTTCCCACGGACGGCACTAAATCGATAGCCACTAAGTACAAAGGTGGTCCCAGGACTCTCTTGACCAATAAAACAGTAAAAACGGTCTTGTTTTCAGCTTTTGGCTTTGGATGGGAGGTCTGTGGCCATTATTTGGCCCAGCAGAAGAGGCTATTAGAAGTTAAAGAGATGCCACTGAATAAATGTTGTGTAATGTAGGTGGCTCAGTGGCTAAGACGCTGAGCTTGCTGATCAGAAAGTTTGGCAATTCAGCAGTTCAAATCCCTAGCACTGCATAACGGAGTGAGCTCCCGTTACTCATCCCAGCTTCTGCCAACCTAGCAGTTCAAAAGCACGTTAAAAAAAGTGCAAGTAGACAAATAGGGACCACCTTTGGTGGGAAGGGAACAGCCTTCTGTGCGCCTCTGCCACTGAGTCATGCCCGCCACATGACCACGGAGAACGTCTCTGGACACCGCTGGCTCTTTGGCTTGGAAACGGAGATGAGCACGCCCCCTAGAGTTGGGAACGACTAGCACGTGTGTGCGAGGGGAACCTTTACCTTCAGCTAATGTTGTGTTTAATCTCCCCAAAGTCTCCCAAGAAAGCTAAGAAGAGGGCAGAAGGTGCCAATTCCAATGTCTTCTCCATGTTCGAACAAGCACAGATCCAGGAGTTTAAGGAGGTACGTCAACAGAGGCGGTAAAATGTTTTGCAAAGTGTCTGTGTTACGAATCCATATACGCAGAATACCTTGACCCAATAGTATGGAAAACGTAGGCAAAATGCTAACCTCCTCTTGGCTTCTGTCCTACCTGCGTAATGAAGAGTCCGTATTTGAATTTCAGCCGCGCCGCACGATCTAAGGCCCCTTCGGGTTTGTTTAAAGAGCATGGAAGTGTGTGCTTAAGTCTTAGATGATCCTACATTCTAGTAGATCAAAGGCTCCAATAACCAATTTAAAAAGACTTTATTGGGGCTTAATCTGAAGCCCCCCGTCTTAGTCCTGGAACCTAGCTGAAATGCCTAGCCGAATATTGCAAGCATAAAGCCTGCCAGATGCCTCGTGCACTTATAATTCCAGCCGTGGAGAGTTCATTTATTTACTTTATTTTGCCTCCTGGGCCGATTGAATAAGATTGAGTTGGTTTTTACCTTTCCCTAAAACCTTATGCAAACTTGGGAACTTTTAAAACCAACTGGCTGGGGAATTCTGGGAGTTGGAAGTCCACAAGTCTTAAAGTTCCCAAGTTTGGACATCCCTGCCGTACGCATTTCCCCAACGGTCTCATGGATCCCAGAAAGAGTTCAATGATGTATCCCGCATAATCACAGGACAGGGCTGGGGAACGATATCAAAAGAGGTTCTTGAAAGGCTGTGCACACCCGACAGCTGGAAGCCTGTGGTGGTCCATCTAGCAGGGAGACAAGGCGCTTCACACATGCCTTTTCTCCCCTTTCAGGCTTTCACCATCATGGATCAGAACCGCGATGGTTTCATTGACAAATCAGACCTGAGAGACACATTTGCAGCCCTCGGTAAGTGAAGAAACCCCCCTTTGTCCTATTAAGTCATTTATACAGGATCCCATTGAGGGGGGAAAAAAATGTTTCGTTCCTTTCCCCCTGCCCAAAATGCTAATATCAAGTCAGAATTAAACTAAGATGTAGACCACAAGAAATAAGAAATGGAGAAATCCAGAATTCGGTCTTGAAATAGAAGGGACAGTTCCACGTTTTGATAGCGTTCCAGGTCAAGGGGATTTATATCTTCCCAAGCCAAATGCAGCTAGTACGGACGATTGAGTATCTAGGAGTTTCTCAGTTTTGGCAGTAAATGTGAGAAAATCCTCCATTCTTCCACATTAGGCAGGGACGGGAGAGAGGCTACTGCTGTGCTGTTTGCCTCTCAGCAACCCCAGGTAAAACAAGACAGGAAATACCACCAGATGAGCTAATTCTACTTTAGTGCCAGGCAACATCAAAAGAATTTTGCAAGTCTGAATGTCCAAAAACTTCCTTCCATCACTTTTAATTGCTTGATTCATTAGGGCAGTGTTTTTCAACCTTGGCAACTTGAAGATGTCTGGACTTCAACTCCCAGAATTCCCCAGCCAGCGAATGCTGGCTGGGGAACTCTGGGAGTTGAAGTTCAGACATCTTCAAGTTGACAAGGTTGAGAAACACTGTCCTAACCACTGCTGGGGAATTCTGGGAGTTGAAGTCCGGACATCTTCAAGTTGCCAAGGTTGAGAAACACTGGTATAAGTCCTTGTAATAACAAATTAAAAAAGGAAAAGGAAAACTATAGATTAATTTTGCAGGTGAATGTGTCTTCACAGAACCGTGTTGTTTTGTGAGATGCTCTGAACAAAACCATCAGAAGAAGGGAGAACAAACTCTCTCTCTCTCTCTCACACACACACACACACACGCACACGGACACACAAATGAAACCTACAGCTTTGTGGAAAGAAACATCAATGATGAACTTTGCAAGCAACCCGACTTTGAAAATCTCCTTTTGTGCTACTCCCGTCTACAATTTGGTTCCATGGCTGGATTCCAGCAAATCCTTT